AACAATAAAAAGCCTGTTACCTTCACTGAGTTCTGGTGTTCTGTTTCTTCTTTCCCAACAGCTTCTCTCCACTCTCATAGTTGCTGTGACCTCTGATCTCTGGTTCCTGCTTCAACTTGACAATCTCAACCACATTCACAAGAAATGGCCATGATAAATAGGCAAACTGTATGTATCTGTCAATAAAACCAGGGTGAGGCAGAATGGGATTTAATTAGTGCGTATGAAATGGTCAAACAGGTGCAATACCCCAAGTGCTGTACTGTTACAGATTATGAGGCCATTTCCCACCAAAATGTTGAGAAACTAAAATGTTCTGCTTGATGTGAAGAATCCTCTGATAAACCATTACATCCATTGTAGGTGACCATTTCCAAACCTCTTTGTTAGCTTGCATCTACTGTATATTTGTCTTCAAAATGCCGCTGAGGTAGCTGCAGCTGTTAACACTGTTTCTTCACATTTTTTAAACAATCCAAGCTCGAGTTAACCAGCCAGGTACTGTAGATAGCACGAGCGCCCTTGGAGATGTGTTTATTTCCAGCAGCAACAAGCTAGTTCATTCTGAACTACTCTGATATTATTGTTGCTGCAGGTGCTAACTGGCTAAATTCTGTAGCAGCAGTTGTTGAATTGCTTTCCTAAAGTCCCCATCTGCTCCAAAATGTGTTTAGGCCAACACTAGGAAGGGTGATCTTAGATTCATCTGTCTCTAACATCTGAGTTTAAGGTGTGTGCCTACAAGCATGATGTGTGACATCACGACTAGTTTCAAAGTCAGCCCTGGTCCAGTAGGCAAATTACACAAGTTTGATGTGTGAACTTAAAGCCTGCACTGCATGTGCTTCAGTCATCAGAATCCTCTTTAACTGCCAAATACATTTGAACATACATGAATCGGACTCTCATACAGTGGAGAAAAATAACTGAGAATAAATAGTGTGTGCATTCAAATACGAAATGTGTGCAGTCAAAAATAGGATGGGAATCAGAGTAAAATAAGAGACAGTTTTTATAAAGACAGTATGTACATCTATACACATTATGGCAGAAGGGCTTTCAGGCTAATATATACATTTTTGAGCATGCTCAGCTCAAGTTGTTGCGACTGCACCACAGGACCAGATGTTCAACCTCCCATCTGTAGGCCAACTCATCACCGTCTCAGATGAGACCGATGACTGTTGTATCATCAGCGAACTTCACAAGTTTAACGAAGGGGTCCCCTGAGGTGCAGTCATTTGTGTAGAGGGAGAAAAGCAGCAGGGAGAGCCCACATCCCTGGGGGCGCCTGTGCTGACTGTCCAGCTGCTGGATGTGGTTTTCCTCAGCCTCATTTTATTAGTTTTTCTCAAGTCACATTTATGATTTCATTTTAAATCTATTTTAATTAAATACCATTTTATACATTATATTTACTTTACACTTTATCACAAACTAATCATTGTGTTGTAGGTAATTTTGTTGCTATCCTTCAAACCCCAAAATGTACTTTTTTTGGCTTCTGCTTCTCTCTGTGTTTGAGGTCACTGCAGGCCCATTATCTGTGAAAATGTCTTAACAATCTTGTCAGCCCTGTCCCAGATTTATCACGTTTTTACAACTCGAAACTCACACTGACCACCTGACACAGTATTTGTTTTGCTTTAATGTCCATGAAGATTTTCATGAAAAACTGTGTATTTCAGGGATTTTCACCCAGTGGTCCGTGGCCTTCTGGTGGTCTGCAAAGGCATTCCAGGTGGTCCTTGACCATGCATTCAATAATGTAGTTTCACTGTATTATGTATGTTTGTGAATTATCTAACTCATGCAAATATACAATTTAGAAAAGCAAAAGTGCTTTTCAGGATTAAAATAGTGCCCATCCAGTTTATCCATCCCACAACAGTGGTCCTCAGATTATTTCTTAGTCAGAATGATGGTCCCTGGGTCAGAATTAGTTAAAAACCCCTGGTGTATGAGAAATTACATGGGTAACATCAATTTGGTGGTTAGGATTAGGAACTAAAACTACATGTTCAGGAGCAAAAACACAGATAAATTTAGTATGGTTAGGTTTTAGGCACTAAAACATTGTAGTCCCAAACTTTTTTCACACTTATCGCACAGACCAAAAGCAAATACAAGATACAGCCATCTGGGGTAGCAAGCACCACTGATTGCATAGGAATATGTAGTTAGACTATGAATATGCGATACCAACTTGCAGGCTGACCTGATGACCGGGTGATCATCCTATGCAGTTAGCTGTAATGGCTAGACGGCAGCCCAGATCTTGTATTTGCTTTCCTTCTGACTCAGAGATACGCATGAAAAACAATTTGATATCATGTTCATTCTGAGCTCTCTCAGAGGCTAACTATGGTGGTGCCATTTAACGTGACTTCTATTCCCTGAATCTCTACAACAAAGGCAGTGATAGCAAAATTAGCACTAGCTATTGAGTCACCATACCTGTTTAGGGGAAATACAGCACAAACAAAAAAGAAGTTATCCTTTAATCTGACTGGTGCTGTTGCCTCACAGCCAGGAGCGGCTCTAGAAAATTTTGGATGGGGTGGCCAGGCTGGGGCACAGATGCAAAGATGGGTGGCACATTTGAAATAAATGTAAAATAAAAATATGTAAAAAAATAAGGTAATGTAAAAAGTCAATGAAACCCCTAGTTCTATGAAATAATAAACCATATACAGTGGTGTGAAAAAGTGTTTGCCCCCTTACTGATTTCTTATCTTTTTGCATGTTTGTCACACTGTAATGTTTCAGATCGTCAAACAAATTTATATATTAGTCAAAGATAACACAAGTAAACACATCATGCAGTTTTTAAATGAAGGTTTTTATTATTAAGGGAAAACAAAATCCAAAACTATAGAGCCCTGTGTGAACAAGTGTTTGCCCCCCTGTCAAAACACTGGTTTATCGCACCTGAGTTCAATTTCTCTTGCCACACCTGTTCGCAATCAAGAAATCACTTAAATAGGACCTGCCTGACAAAGTGAAGTAGACCAAAAGATCCTCAAAAGCTAGACATCATGCCGAGATCCAAAGAAATTCAAAAACAAATGAGAAAGAGAATAATGGAGCTCTATCAGTCCGGAAAAGGTTATAAAGCCATTTCTAAAGCTTGGGGACTGCAGGAATTCATGGTTCCACTTATCACAGCATGTCTTCCAGGGCCTGAAGCAGCAAAACAGCCCCAGACCATCCCACTACCACCACCATATTTTACTGTTGGTATGATGTTCTTTTTCTGAAATGCGGTGTTACTTTTACGCCACACATAATGGGACACACACCTTCCAAAAAGTTCAACTTTTGTCTCGTCTGTCCACAGAGTATTATCCCAAAAGTCTTGGGGATCATCAAGATGTTTTCTGGCAAAACTGAGACGAGCCTTTATGTTCTTTTTGCTCAGCAGTGGTTTTCGTCTTGGAACTCTGCCATGCAAACCATTTTTGCCCAGTCTCTTTCTTATGGTGGAGTCATGAACACTCAGCTTAACTGAGGCAAGTGAGGCCTGCAGTTCTTTGGATGTTGTTGTGGGGTCTTTTGTGACCTCTTGGATGAGTTGTCGCTGCGCTCTTGGGGTAATTTTGGTCGGCTGGCCACTCCTGGGAAGGTTCTCCACTGTTCCATGTTTTCGCCATTTGTGGATAATGGCTCTCACTGTGGTTCGCTGCAGTCCCCAAGCTTTAGAAATGGCTTTATAACCTTTTCCGGACTGATAGAGCTCCATTATTCTCTTTCTCATTTGTTTTTGAATTTCTTTGGATCTCGGCATGATGTCTAGCTTTTGAGGATCTTTTGGTCTACTTCACTTTGTCAGGCAGGTCCTATTTAAGTGATTTCTTGATTGCGAACAGGTGTGGCAAGAGAAATTGAACTCAGGTGCGATAAACCAGTGTTTTGACAGGGGGGCAAACACTTGTTCACACAGGGCTTTGTAGTTTTGGATTTTGTTTTCCCTTAATAATAAAAACCTTCATTTAAAAACTGCATGATGTGTTTACTTGTGTTATCTTTGACTAATATATAAATTTGTTTGACGATCTGAAACATTACAGTGTGACAAACATGCAAAAAGATAAGAAATCAGTAAGGGGGCAAACACTTTTTCACACCACTGTATTAAGAATCATATTGGTTTTTAGTGTAAAAATCATCATAAAAATAACCATCACCATACTGTACCTTATATACAAACTGAAATGTGAACATTAGTGACATGTATATGTTATACATAGGGAATGATGTCCTCTGTCACATGCAAGTGGAAAAAACAGTTTAAGGACGTCTTTGTTTTGAAACTCCCAGAGGAATGAGCCTGAGGAAGCAGGGCTATAGAAACACAGATGGGTGTTAGGGCAGAGCAGCACAGTGCACAACCTCCTATCTCAAGGGTCCCGATGCACAACAACAGCCACCAGTGCATCACGTCTGAGGTTTCCATATGTCCCCTAGTTCTCCTGAAGCCTCACCTTTTTTCCATTCTGCCCATCATCTCTACCAGCAGAGTCCCTTCCACCACCAGCACTCCAGCCAGTGTGGTTGTGGAGACAGATTTCATCATGTGACCCGACCTACCAGCAGACTATCTGCTGTTGAAAGCCAAAGAGGAAACAAATACATCCACCAAGAATGTGTCACGGAGCCAGACTGATGTTTTGATTTGCTAATAGTGGAAATAAATTTATGAAAAAAGTCTATAGAACATGTCTATAAAATATATACACGGTTAAGTAGAAATGTTACATTTGTGTTTAAGATAATGTCAATAATACAAGTTGATTCAAACTGAACTCAATTGATGACTGTGGAAAAAAGATCTGAAAGTGAGAAGACTGAACAGTCATTTCGATGAGTGAGTATGAATGAAATATGATTGAACAGAATTATTATAATGTGCAACATATGTGATATAACTTCAGATAAAATGGTATTGTGGATGGACTTTACGCGTTGCACCAGTTGTTAACATGTACTACTCTGTTGGTTATTTAGTTTATTGGCGCTGTTTTGGATTTTTTAACAGACAGCACTTAGAATGAAATACAGTTTTTAAGATCCACCAGTGAATTTTTATCTTTTATTTACTATTTGTTTATAAGTCTTTTAGCTTTTTTTTTCTCATTATTACTAGTGTGTGATGCTCCTGGCCAGTTTTTTTTATATTTCAATGAATGCATTAACTAATATTGATTATCTAAAGTTGAATCTGTTTCAAATGACTAATTAATACACAAACTGTTTTCACATCTTTTCATTAGCCAGAGGAAGCATCGATTCAAGAATCGAGTATTTAAAGTGAGTCCATGGATCTTTTACTGAACAGAAGCTTCTGAGAGGACAGGGGGAGGAAAGGACCATGGTAAATTAGTTAGTGTAAAATAAACCTGTAAAGCCAAATCGACTAAGTGTAGCCTCCTGAATCAAACAAAGGTTGTTTTCTTATGAAATAAACTTTTGAGATGTAAAAAGAAGAATGTGCTATTTCTTTTCCTTCCTTCCTTTGATTCTCAAAGTAGGGGAAAACTTTGAGACAATAATGAGTAAGCTGAAAAAATGGCACTTGGAAACTAGTGTCCAGTCTTTCTTCATAGGGCTACTTTGTGCAACAGAACAACTTCATTTTGGTTTAACCCCCAGAATTTTCCACTGGACAACCAGTGTAGTACTGATCGGTTTGGGCACATATTAGCCACATACAGTATCTCAGTGTAAACCTAGTTCTGTAGTAAATGTCAGCAACCCCTCCCTGACCCCCACAATAAAGTGTCAAGACCCACGTCAGCTGGAGATCCTTAGACTATTATGCAATACTTAATTTTGTTAGAAAAAAGTCTCGCAAGCGAGAGTTTGCGAGACCTGTATAAATTGAGTAGCTTCTGCATAGAAATACTAGAATATACGTTCACCTCATTATTTGAGCTTTAGGTCACATCTAAGATGATAATTCACCGTTGTAACATTGTAGATAAGTCAGGAAACAAGGAAAAGCACCATGGGCTCTTTAAATGTTATGTTCAACATACAATCCACTTTACAGAAACACAACCTGATGTGGAAAGCAGTACTTGTTATTTGCAGTACCCTTACGAATGGAAAGAATGCTGTTTTTAATTAATATCTGAACTGCTGAACTGAACTTTCCCCCTGCTAGTGGCAGCAAAGGAGCAGCTTATGTATCCATGACTTGCAGAACAAGATATCTCAAAAACTGCTATCCACATGACCATGACATTTGTGACACACAGTTCCCAGAGGATGATTCTTAATGGTGCTGCTGACCACCTCCAACCACAGCCGCTGTCAGGCCAAAGTTTCACTTAGGTCTGTGACAAGCTACTCTGAAAGCTAATGGTCAACTTTTCATGTAATCTGTTTTAGACATTCATGACAGATGGAGCACAATTAACATTTTGACCTTGCCTCTGGTGCCACCATCAGATCCACATTACACTTTTCCTCAGTAGCTTCTTTGAAAGATCACTATCATTCTCAAAGTTGAAGATACAGTTGTGAAAACAGTTTATATATACACAGCATGACACATCAGAAACAGGCTATACTTCACTCAAAACCTTTAGCTTATGTGACAAGTAAATCCTCATGTTAATAAGTCAGCTGTCTAAATGAAATGTTCCATTAACATTGTGTAGGTTAAAGTTCTCAAAATGTTCGGCTGTTTTGTCAGTAGGACAGTGCGCGGAAAATTTACTGTCATTTCAAAACAGTGTAATTGATTAACATTGTAACAGAACACTGGCACAACACTGTATAAATAAATGTTATGCTCCAACAAAATATGTGGAAAGTGTGGAAACAAAATATCAAACAATGTAGCAACACAAAATCACAGTGTACAAAATTACAGCGCTACATCGAAAAACAGAGTCCTGTCCCGTCTGATTGGTCACATAACCACAGGTCCAATAACAGACAATGGTGATTCGGAAGTTTCTCAGCCTCCTTGGCTGATATGAGACACTCCCATAAATGAAGTTTCACCTGACAGCCGGTATATACAGTCACTATGGAAAGTATTCAGCCCCCTTTGCTTGTTGCACATTTTACTCAGTTATTTTGAAGTGGAAAAAATTGCAATTATAAAATGTGCAACAAGTGAAGGGGGCATGTGAATATCTACAGAAGTGCATCTCTCTATGTGCAATCAAACCAGTTGAGGCCTTGACATATTTTGAAAATTGCTTACATTTATGTGAATATGTACAATGTGAACAGTGAAGTAATCCTTAAATGTTTAGAAACTGAAAAGCTAGGATCTATTTTGACCAAAAGAACATACAGAACTGATTATTGTTAATGTGGTAGCCAACTGTACTCAATCATTTGCAGAAACAATCACTATTTGTAGAGAAACAATGAGAAATGCTCTTATGTTGTACAGAAGAAACTACAAGTTGATGAGAATGTCAAACCCGTTTTGAAAAGTTTAACTGTATTTTTGAAATTAAGCCAAATCTATATACGAGCACTGTAACATAAAGCTGTAGAGAGCACTTCCACACTTCCCAGGGGATGAGCCCGATGCAGGATGTGGTTGAATGTACTTATAGTGTTTGGTGTTTCAGTTATTTTGTCCACCTCTTTTATATCACTGAGGCTACGCTAAATAACAGAAATGCCTCTGTTACATAGAGAAACATCTGTGTTGTCATCATCACTAATATAAAGCACAGAAATAGAAGCTACTGTAGCTGAGAAGCAGTGCATTTATCATTAATAGGGACCGTTATGAGTTTTCAGTAGTTTATACATCATATATAATATAAAATGGGCAGTAAAAACTAAAGTTAAATCTCTCAGCTTTCAGTTCTCATAAGTAAGCACTTGGTGTTTGGTAGCACACAAAGAAAAAGTAGCAAAACAAAAGGGGTAGGGTGTAAAGATGACACCTTTTGTGATTTAATTCCTCTGACGTAAATGAATGACACTCTGGGGAAACGTCTTACAAAACCTCCTCATGCATCAGTTACACAAGTACAAACCGAAACAACAGTTTCACTCCCCATCTTTCACAACACAACTTGGGTTGAAACTAGACTATTTTCTAGTTTAGACCGTTATTTCCTTTTGGGGTTGTTCCAGTGTATCACAACAGTCAGTCAGAAGCTGTTAATGTGTGAGAACAATTGCAGAGCAGCTCAGAAACTTAGTACTTACTGTAAATGATAAGACACTACGGAATGTTGTCTATGCACAAATAAGGAAACAATATTCATAGACAGGATGCCATTTAGTGTTCTGAGTGTGATGATGAGCCCCAGGAAATCCTTTCATATTCAGCTGGTGTGTCATATCAGCAGAAACATGCTGTTGTGTTTTTTATGTGTAAGCTTCAACTGCAGTTTGGCCAATTTTTACTTCTCATTTATTTTACATCGTATAAAAACAAACCATTTACAACAGAAACTAGAATTACTACTTCATGGTTGCAAGCCTCCGTCAACCAGTCAAATTTATGGGGATGGGACAGACATGAGGTCACTGACCTTTGGCCACCAAGTGGACACTTGTGCCAGATTTGAAGAAATTTCATCAAAGCATTCCTGATACAACACATTCACAAGTTTGGGCCAAACAGATGTTCATATGGATAACCTGAAATATAACGCCTCCGGTTGCAGCCATGTCCGGCACGGAGGCATAAAAACGTAGTCGCTGACTGTTCATGTACAGTGTTACGAGACCTGCAGCCAGTTGCACCAGCTATGCTGCCTTAAAAGCTTAGGCTCAACAGGGATAGAAAGAAAATGGTATAAACTAATTGGAGAATTTTCTCATTCAGGGAGCAAACAGCATCTCCTTAGACTGACGATGACATGGACTTGGCTTGGTGCTGTGCAATACTCAGATCTTTAGGCAGCAGTCAGTCGGTAGAATCCCGGGTCAAAACCAAACAGGGCAAAGCTGCACACAGATGAAACCGACTTGCTGATGAACTTAAATGTCCCCTAACTCTCGTCACTTTTAAATCCAAACTGAACTCTGCTGACTGTCTAGTTTATCTTCAACAACGTATTACTGCCCTGTACCTGCTGCACAGTTGTTTGATCGTCTTTGTCCATTTGTTTTCATTTTCATTTTAAAAAAATTTTATTTAATTGATTTTATTCTGGTTTTAATGCACTTTGCCTATTTGAAATGTACTATACAGTATAAATAAAACTGCCTTGGCTTGCTTTACTTACATGTGGAGTAAATGATACAATCCATGTGATTTCTATGCTGGATTCACTTCTGTCCCTAACCTTTACAGGTGCACTGCTACATCTTTGCAAACAACTGGAGGTGCTACAAAGAAACTGGGAAAAAAGCATGGCTTCATAGCAGCGGGGAAAACTTTAAGGACAGTTTTAAATGTCAAGGTGGTGACTTCAGCCGAATTCTGCCACCAAGATCAAGGTTTTCTAGCACACAAATGTCACTACTCTTTATGACTACATGTGTGACTAGTAAAGTTCTAGCCTCGGTGGACATGGTGCACCTGAACACAGCGGTGAGTTAAGTGTAAAACTTAGTACTTACAATCTATTAGTCAGTTTTGACTTTAAAGCTCTCCATCTAATTTCTTTTCAGCTATTAGGATCAAACCGAACTGACACCATGAGCTGCTCCTAACCACTTCTGGCTCCTCCCATCATGCCCTGCTTCATAGCAGTAAATTATGGATGCCTGGTTGCACAAACTGTACAAAATTCAAAAATGTTAGTTACTACTTACTGCTAAGGTTACACAAGGCCCGGGGACTGCAAGGGGGAAAATGAAGTGGAAAGGCAGTGTGTGAGGTGTGACTTTAGGGTGAATTCCCAAACTGAGACTGGTGGGACCCATCAGTACCTGAGGGTTTGGGTCTGGTTTGGACAGAAATTTAGAAATCATGTTCAGGCTTGACCATGTAGGTCAAACTGTAAGCTAATCAGGCATAATTGCACTTTTAAATGAATCTATGCTTCTTTAGTCTAATATACAATAAGTTCTAAGGCTATTAAAAATTTAAGTGATGAGCTGGATAAGTGCATGACAACGCTATCCATGGTATTATATGGACAAGGGCTATACAAAAAATGCAGCACAAACTCAGGTTTGGACATAAATATGCAGCCCCGAGTGTGTGTGTCTACTTTGTATGTACTAACCTCTGAGCTGAGGACAGACAGCATCAGCTGTAACTCACAAAGCACAAATGGAGTCAAGGGATGCCAAAACTGTACTGACTGGAAAGTCAGGTCAGAGGTTACACAGGCAGCAACGCAACCAGCAACTCAAGACTGTCGCTGGCTGTGATGGCTATTTCTGGACAGGCTGAGTCTGGACAACTTGGTCAATGAAAAAATAAAAAGCTGACAATCAAGTAAAGAGTTTCGGCAGATAATGTGCAAACATTTAGAGAAAATGGGGAAGTAATCTGTCCGGGAGTCTTATTAATGAAGGGGGTGCAATGAAGAATTTCTATAAAAAATCCACCCTCAGATCATCTAGTGCATATGACAAGTCTCTGACAAGTATTCTAAGAGATTTGATTTTTGATGTACCTTTTCCCTCAACTTTCCTCATCTACTACTTAGTTTAGTGTTTTGCTACATTGTTCATGATTAATTTGCTGCATAGTTGATGCCTTTAATATGTAGGCTGAAAAAAAAAAAAACAAAAGTGGACAACATTGACCACCGTGAGACAAATGTGGCCAAAAGCTGTTCATCGACAGCTGATTTAGAGGTTTGGCGACGAAAGACAGCTTCCAAATCCTCAAAAAATGAATGTCTATTGTAACTGTTCACCTGTTTTCTGATGCCCCTATCAGCACAACAACATCCCTTCACGTCTAATCTTCTAGTTGAGGTTTGGTTAGGGTAAAGGAAAGATAACAATTTTGGGTTAAAATGGCTAAAAGTTCATGGACCGTCAATGTCAGGGTTAAAAATAATAACTTATTTGGTTAATGATGGGAACAATTGTAGTCATGGCTAAAAGAAACTAATGCTGACTGTTAGGAAACAGCAACAATTTCCCATGTTGAGGTCAGACATTTTGCAGACCCATTCTTCCAGCCTGACCTCCTCCTCACTCTGAGGGTTTTATAGCTGTATGAAAACCTGACACTAATTCACCCTTGGCTTCCACGGGACAACAGACACATTCCCATGACTGCTGGGGTCATCACCCTTTGAACAGAAACACATATTTTGTGGTGGTTGTATTTGCACCCTTCTTGGGAGGATAGTCGCAATATTCTGCATCAAAATTTGGCAGCTGGCAATTTAGAACCAAATTCTCACCATGTAACTCTCAAAGTCTACACACAACCAATCAGAATAGAACCATCTGTAACGCAGAATACAATGGGAGGCACAGATTTTTAAATAAAGCTACATATATAAACAAAGTGTTTGTGCTGTGGCCTCAGCTTGCTTTATTTCTAAGTAGAAAGCACACACTGATGATGCAAGCTGATGACGTGCTGCTGATTGCAGCACCAAGATTTTCCAGGCACTGATCGCACATTCTGACATCTGAAAGCTGACGTATAGTCTACCGCGGACTGGGACTGAGGTCTCATTAGAGTCATGTTGCACTGTCTAACAGGCACTGAATTCATAAACACAGTTACAGTTACAGTGTAACTGCCTTCACTCAAAATGCCTGCCTGTGGATGCATTGCATTGTGGTCTCTGCCAGAATATAATGCTCTGTACTGAGGTTGGTGGCAGCAGAGAGAAGATTTCTCCCTATGCTGCAAAGCATCCCCTTGTTCTCTGATTCTAAGGAACTGACTTCCCACCGTTACATTTAGATAACTGAAATAATCTCTACCCTTAGCCTCCAGTGCGGTTGCTGCTAATCTCTGTTTACATTGTTTGCATTCGGCCAGAAAAAATAAACCATACACCACAAAACCACATAATGCAAACTGTATCACAATGGTACTGGTAACATGTTTTCTCAAAAATATGCATCATTGTTTCATAATTGTTATGTGATTATTTGGTCTATAACCCATTGTTTACTGTTTAAATGCCTCACCGAGCAACAGATCACCAGAAAATGCTACAAATGTGGAATGTCTGTCAAAGTAAAAATAAAAAAAAGTTCAAATCCCACATAAAAAAAAGATTGGTTAATAAAATTCCCATAAACCCATAATGTTAAAAATGTGCAAAGGTGAAATGTCACATCAAATCAAACTGCAAAAGGGTCTTAAGTATAAACCCCTGAACTGACAACCACAACTCTCAATATCTAGCGACTGTAACACTTCAGTGCTCATAAATTCCCTAAACCCAGAACTACAGCAGATACAAAGTACCAGTGTGCAAAAGTAGAGGAGTATGGAGGCAACACAAGGTCGCTGGCTGGCGTCCTGCAGTCAGAGTCTGATCCGGAACATGCCCTGACTCAGCTGGAGGCGGAACAGTCGACAGTTGGCGATGCGTAGGGCAGCGCATGCTGTTTTTGAGAGGTCGCTGGGTAACATAGGCTTGGTGCGATGCCACGTCCCTGTGCTGCGGCGAAACTCTCGGATGTAGTCGAAGCTTGTACCTGTAGTGCACAGGAAACACCAACCGTACACATTCAGATACTGACACTGCTATAAAACCATCAGCAGTCAGTTGAGTTGAACAGGACTCTTTTACTGACCTGTGTCCAGGTCTCCCACTACGTAGACGCTGGCTCCGATGGGCACAGCACCGTAAACAAAGGATGAACTGGTCTGGATACACAGGTTCTGGTCATCCAGCAACATCCACCTATACACATTATACCACAGACAAGGCTATCAAAAACATTGATGGAAATAATCTGTTTTTGATGGACCATTTTCATATAATAAAATATGTAGGACCTTTGAACATTTTGTTGCCACCATGATGACGGCGTACACAGCCGTCATTCTCTGTATAAATACTGCCAAGTCTTCTTTGTCTACATCCTTTTGCCATCACCAAATGAAATTTTGAATAAAAACATGGTAACTGTACTTTTAACAATCCATCCATCCATTTTCTATACCGCTTAGTCCCAAATGGGGTCACAGGCGGCTGGAGCCAATCCCAGCCGGCTGCGGGCAAGAGGCGGGGTACACCATGGACAGGTCGCCAGTCCATCACAGAGCTAACAACCACTCACACACACAATCACTCCTACGGGCAATTTGGACACACCAATCAAACTATGCTGCATGTCTTTGGACAGTGGGAGGAAGCCGGAGCACCCGGACAGAACCCGGGTCCCATGCAAGCACGGGGAGAACATGCAAACTCTTCACAGAAACGCCCCAGGTCGGCCAGGGCTCAAACCCGGAACCGTCTCACTGTGAGACAACAGCGCTAACCACTGCACCACCGTGCTGCCCTTACTTTTAACAATTTCATCTGAAAACATATTTCCAAATTTTGAGCCATGGAAAAACCTGCTGGAATCCAGTAAGGAATTAAAAAAGTTAAACAATCCATCTGCTAATGAAAACCATCCACTATGAGCAACAACACATTAATAATAAAATCAAAGTTCACAAATCGCTATAAATAAACCTTCTGGAGTAGTAATTCCATACTGACCTCCTCATTTCGTCGTGGTAGAACTCTGACTTGCAGGTCATCATGACTCTTTGCTCAGGGTTCTCGTTCTCTTGGCTTCTAACTCCACCGAACACGTAGAGCTCCTTGCCGACACCACAGGCCACCGAACCAAACCTGAACCGGAAAATAACAGAGTTTAAAAGATAGGAATGAGTAATATGTATAAAACCTTCTGACCTGGTATGTTAGGTTGCACATACCAAATCGAGCCTGCCCTTCGGTATCGGAGGGCCCAGGCCAGGTTTGGACAGAAATTTAGAAGTTATTTTGAGGTTCGGGTCGGGTTTGGACACATAGGCCAAACTTTAAGCTGGAGTGCTTAAATGTAAAGGGGAAAAAAACGTACAAACTCTACTGCGTCGGGCTAAGGTTGGCTTCAGACATCATATTCTATAAGCTTGTTGGGTCCGTGTCAGGTTCGGGCGTCATATTCTCGGGCGCGAGTCAGGTTCGGACAGAAATATGCAGCCGGGATCCATGCTCTAAATGCCATATCAATATCTAACAGGATTAAACATAAAACGCAATGTGAATAAATAAAGTGCCTGCATTCTCCTGCAAATCTGATAAAATCAGCAGAAAAGAGTGTCTGATCTCAGTTAATCCAACAAATCTAGTTCCTGGCAAATTAACATTACTCACAATGATCTAATACAACAAGAGATAATAATGAGATACCACAGTGCAGCAAAGTCTCTGACTGACATTTATATTGTCACATTTTAAATAATGTCATATTGTCCATGCCTGTTTGGGTTAAGGATCAAAGAGGGGCTGTTCAACTCAGTGTCAATGTGGCACATTGAGTCTGTGACACACAAGCCAGTAGTGACATGATATCATACACTGGCTATGACAGAGCCAACCATGGTCAGATGAAAGCTACACGAGCAACAAACCATGAACAACTATTCTTATCGAACAGCTTAGCTTATTCTAGCTTTGTGTCAATTAGCTTTATTCTTTAGCTTTTCTGCTTTTGTGGACTCTAGGGACCACAAGTAAACCTGCACTCTGAGAGCGAAGTGCTCTGTTAGGATGATAAGGCTCTATGAGGTCTTTAAGATACGATGGAGCCTTGTCATTAAGGGCTTTGTATGTTAGGAGAAGGATTTTGAATTCTATTCTGAATTTTACAGGGAGCCAGTGGAGAGAAGCTAATATGGGAGAGATATGATCTCTCTTGCTAGTTCCTGTCAGTACTCTGGCTGCAGCATTTTGGATTAACTGGAGGCTTTTTAGGGAACTATTGGGACATCCTGATAGTAAAGAGTTACAGTAGTCCAGCCTGAAAGTAACAAATGCATGGACCAGTTTTTCAGCATCACTTTGAGACAGGATGCTCCTGATTTTTGTGATATTGCGCAGGTGAAAGAAGGCAGTTCTAGAGACTTGGTTTATGTGTGATTTAAAGGACATATCCTGGTCAAAGATGACTCCAAGATTTGTCAGAGTAGCACTGGAGGCAAGAGCTATGTCATCCAAAGTAACTATATGATTAGACAGCAGATTTCTAAGGTTTTCAGGCCCAAGCACCATGACTTCTGTTTTGTCAGAGTTTAGAAGTAAGAAGTTACAGGTCATATAAAGGTTTATGGCACAGACATATAAGATAACCCACTTCTGACAGACAATAATTGTGACCGTGTTGCGATGCGCACCTATCTAGGTACATGCACTGTGCTCATTATACCCTGAGGCGCGCTGCGCAGGACATGCAAAACTTAAAAAAACAAGATGACATTGTGTTCACTGGGTGTTGTGCACATCAATATATATTTATAATAAACACCATTTTGATTAGTGATCATGCACCTTCAGCTCACACGAGCAGATCCACTTCCTCAGTAGAAAATCTTACTGACATCTGACCTGGCAAATCCGTCAGTATACTGGCAATTCGCCAAACGTTCAAACTCACACGTCTCTTAAAAAGAGGATGTGAGGTTACACACTGACCAGATAATTGCATGTTTCGCCCAAAACACACCCCTGCTTTAATGAAGAGATCAAGTACAGCCCTTTGGTACTCACACAGGCGATTGAACTGTTTTTCTTCGTGATCAAATTACAGAAATGAAGGTGGACACTCCCAAACACCACTTGTGCCAGTACACCTTGATCAGATGCTGTGAATCCTCCTGAATAGGGCCCTCACTGTTTCTGCACAGAGGCTCTGGTCTGACTTACAAATGTACATGCTATGACTCAACAGCCTCAGTCACAGCTGCCTCATCATCCTGAGCAATACTTGGCTGTGACAGTAAGACTGTGGTGTTATTTGAGAGAAGTCATACTGAAACTAAAACAAACAGTTCTAGGAGGGTGACACTGACCATGGTCATATTTCATTTCCTGTTGTGCAACCCAAACCAGTACCAAGTATGGCTGAAGGTAAATGTTTGTATAATACAGAAAGTGTGACAAAATATCTTCAATGGACAGAAAAGAGAGGATAACAAGATAACATGAGAAAGAAATAAAATATTGACTTTAAACCGCTTGTAAATCATAGATCCTCCTTCTTTTGTTTTGTTTGACCAGCTCGCGCAGTCACAGGCTGTGTTTACCTTCTCTCTTTGAGAGGGCAGAGGCCAGTCCACTGCTGGGTTTTGGGGTCAAAGCATTCCACAGAGTCAAACAGCTTCCCATAGGAGCCTCCACCCATGGCATAGATTTTCTTATTCATGGAGGCATAGCAACCAACCTGAAGGATAAAACAAGTCACAGTATGGATTAGTGTTAGGGCTAAGGAGGAGAGAGAATCACCGATGACAGTGGATCACTTGGCCTAAGTTCTGTCTAACGTCTGGACATGGGTTGTAATGGCCCTGGGCCCATTGTGCATGGTCACTTCAGTTACATTGTTAGGTTTGTGTGTTGTGGGATCCTGCCTAACCTCTGCTGTGAGAGAACAGAAAAAGGCAACAAGCACAGAAGCAGCAGAGTCACCTTTCATGTTGGCGATTTAATATGATTTCAGATTTTTGTTCTGTCTTTCAGGTCCACTTTCATCTGGGCTGAAACAATGGGTTTTGTTTAGCACTGAAACAATTCATCGACTGACAGACAATTACTCATCAACAGCAACTCGTCATCAAGTTCTCTGCCGCCCCCCTCATTGATGGTTACAGGAAGGGACTGATTTCAGAGGGTGTGCTACCAAATATTAAGCTGATGGTGTCAATAATTCTGTCCAGCCCATTTTTGGAGTTCTGTGTGGAGTGGACCAGATTTGGCTTTTTCTGTTGTTCCAATGCAAACAAAAGAAATAGACATGAAAACAGCAAAGAACTTGTGATGGCAACAATTTTCTGGGACAAGCGGTGAGTTATCTGACAGAAATGCAGCAGTGCCAATATTTTTGGCCATGACTGTATCTCACTCTGGGCAAACTAACAGCCATCATCTCCAGCCCCCTCTGCTGAAATCATGACAGGTATACTGAGAGTCCCTGTGACAGTTTAGGAGAATGTGAGCTCACAAGGACAGGCAGGTGTAAACGTAGAGTGTAATCTATTGCCACTATGCTTTATGGTAACTGGTACTGTGTTACAGGGAGGTTCAACCCACTTCAGTAACATAATCTATAAAATGTATCATGACATAACCTTTTTCACACATGCAGAAGATTAGACTGCTGACTTCATCAGGCTGTAAAAACCATTGTCATTTAGACGTTTTCAGGGAAGAAGACTATTCTCTGCTCTCACTCTGGGTCCATCACTGATGGATTTTAAAACTTTTTTTGTCATTTGAGCCTTACAGTGATGGAATAAGACACATTTAATCTCTGCATGTTTTGCTTTGTGCTGCCACAGCCTTTTCTTTGGCTTGACAGCATTCACTTCAGACCTGCGCTGTGCTGACTTTTGACAGTGTTGTGGAAATGCTGCTACAGCCAAGCTAATGAGATCACCATAACAACTGTTACATAAAAGTGACTAGTGTGCTTGTTCAGATATGAAAGCGACATAGCAAGGAGTTCAGCATACAGACCTCATTTTAGTCATGTCCATAGGTTCAATAAACTGATTCCTCATACAGGTTGTCACCTTCTCCTTACACATAACAAAGAATCAGGCCTAATACTCAATCCTGGACAGGCTGTTCATACGTCAAGCCAGTAGTTTCACCAGCAGCTGTGGGCTATGTAAATAACCCAGCTTCTCTAGTCTAACATGGAGAGACCGAATGAGTCAAAGATTCAACAGTGGGCGGAAGCAGATCTAAAAAAAACAAAAACAAAAAAAGGCTGCCACAAAAAAGCTGTCATGTCAGTCATATGAAAACACTGTTCAGTCACCATAAACTGATACTGGACAAAACAAAGCTACATGTAAATACTGTTACAAGCAAGTATAAACAGAACTGAACTGGCAACTCTAAATGGAACAATAAAGTAGAGTAGGGATATAAAATTCACTAATGCATTGTGTCATTATTGGGTCTAGGTCATTTACTATTGCTGCATTTCCACTATTGGAACCTAACGAGCGGTACACCCCGTCCTTTACATGACCATCACCAAGCGTAGCCTTCGGGGTTGACGCAGACTGTCCTGCTTTGTTGTTCCACTGTACTTTCTCTCTGTCGGTCTGTTTAGAGGAGGGAGGGGCTGCTGTGTGTTTACACATGCTGCTTGCAGTGCTAATGCTTGAGATGTGAAGATGCAGACATTTAACCAATCATTGGCAAATGCTCTGCAGGCATGTAGCCCCTCCCCTCACGTGGTACTGGTACTTGATTGTAGTACTACCTCCTGAGGGGTGCTGAGATGTAGCTCCCAGAACGCATTTCCAAAGCGGGTCAAGTGTAGTGGAAACAAACACAGCGTTACTTGGCGCGACACGTTTCAGTATTTTCCTATAATGGAAAAACCCCTTAAGTTACATGTTCTGCTGTCCTGTGAAAACGATGTGTGTGTCGTTACCTTGCGGATCATGGTCATACTGGTCTGCATCTTCCAGGTGTTGAAGTGAGGGTCAAACACTTCAACGGTGATTAGCTCTGTTATATCATTCTCTCCTCCGAGAACGTAGATCAGACCATCCAGCTCCACCACGCCAAAGTTCTGACGAGCCTGCATGTATCAGTGACATGATCACCAGCCCAAATACACACTGGTGAATCTGATCGATCTAAAATTCCCGGGGGTTGAGTGGTCGTCTGTCTCTGTGTCAGCCCTGTGACAGACTGGTGCTGACCTGTCCAAGGTGCACCCCACCTTTCACCCAGTGCCACCTGGGACCGGGCCGCCCATGAACTTCTAAAAGAATAACTGGTGTAACTGACCAACAGATCAATCGATCCTCCAATGCCGTATGGCGGAGTGGGCGACAAGTGTTCCCGTTTCTATGGCTAAAGCTGATGAATGGATAAATAATATAGTGAAATCTGATTTGATAAATTAGTATTGTTTAGAATGTTCAACAATATACAGTCAACCAGTGATGAGAACTGGACCACTTTTCACCACAGAATGTAAACAGGTCAACACAGTGTCCAATCTGCCTGTACTCTCAACACAGGTTGACAATGAACTGTACTGCAGCACTGCTGACACCTAATGGTCATGAGGTAACATAATTATAAAAGTCAGAGGATGTGTACTGTTGCATGGCTGCAGAAACAAGTCTATTGTGCCTATAAATTATGAATAATAGCAAACTTCAACAGCAAAATGATAGTTTTTTTAAACCTTTACAGTGTCTATTTGACAGAAACATCTGGTGGTGGGAATTAACTGCACAGTAAAATGCAAGAAAAAAGGTGGCAGAAAAAATACTTGCGACAGAATAATTGTAGCTGCTGAAACTTCAGGAGAAAGAGGTAAGAGGTCAGTATACCTGAAGCATTGACTGTATGGGACTCCAGATGTTGGAGTCAGGGTCATATTTCTCTCCAGTATCCAGGACTGTGTTATGTTCATCTGTTCCTCCCATCACAAACAGAAAACCCTCTAACAAAGAGGAAACACATTGTTTCCATTGACTTTTGTATATGCTGCAATTTGCACAGTTTTACTAAATTTCTCTTAAGTGCCAACTTGACACAAAAAAACACTCAATGACATTAGCTCCATGAATATCCTGGCCCAAGCACAACACTGACCTGCAGCGACCACCCCGTGGCCAATGCGGGCGTTGCTCATCGGCTGCAGCTCGATCCAGGTCTGTCTGTTGGCGTCGTAGAGCGGGCACATGCAGCGCGTCACAGCAGTCGGCTTTCTGGTTCTACACAGGATGAAACCCATCAGACCAGACAGGATGTAAGAAGACTGTGGGACTTAGGTGAATTCTGCACTAATTTAACCTCTTCCTCTGGTTTATATAACATTTAACCCCTAAAATACAGTATGTCTATTTTCCTGCCCACTGAGGGCCAAAACCATCTCGGACATTTACACTTGACAAAAAAAATGACTGCGCAACACCTCTGGTTCAAGTGGGTTTTAAAAAGATAACTCTGTCTCGAAACTGTTGATACTTGATGTCTTCAGTTTGTGCCACTTTCACACCAATAAAAATCTGTAAATTGAAACTAGTTACTGTTTTCCCCAAAACCTTTGGGGAGTCAATTGAAGAGCTTTTCTGTAAGCAATGACAGCACATCGAAGCTCCACTGAACTTCGAAGACCATCACAACAGCAACGCTGGTGGCCAATCAGTCTGTGAAGTCTAAATAGAATATAAATGATAAAAAGAAAGCTGAGAACTCACGTGCGATTCTCTCCTCCAGCAATAACAATACATTCAGAGTAACCTCGAGGTTTGAAGGCAGCGAGCAAATCTGCTCCGTGCAGCTGAACATCCCCCAGCACCGGCTGGCAGTACTCTCTGATCACCTCTCTCATCAGTGGCTCCCCCATGGCCTGATGGGATACCACGTAACACACACCAAGGATAGCATGCACAACTGAAACACTGTTCCTGGACATTCACATCATCACAAAGGCTCTGCTGTCTGAAGACGTGCTCTACCTGCTCTCTAAGGTAGCTGACGTCCAAGCCGTGCAGCCACACTGCAGACATCACTTCCTTCATATGCACCTGCAAATACGGATATAATAACACTCACGTTGTGTATTTATGGAACAAACACAAGCTTGAATTAATTCATTAAATCACATTAATAACATTAAAGTTGGAAACTAAAAATTCAGTTCTAGTCAAGTGATCCATTGTTAAAGCAAAAATATAGAGTAGTGTAGCTTTAAAAATGTAATGAGTAAATAAAAAAACATTACTACATTTCCTTTGGCAATAACGTGAGACAAGCTAAATGTTCAAATGTTTACTAAGAACAAACAACTAACCAAAATAATAATAATTTAAATCACATCAGCCTTTGGTTTCCATTGACTTACATTCTTATAAAAATCAATAACTACTTATGTGAAACTTTAGTGTTATATGTAAAACAGTAAATAACTCTTTTCAAATGTGATTGCTGTAGAAACATGCTCCAAAACTTGTCTGAATGTGGAGAGGTGCTGTCGAAGCCTCCTGTGACCCAGACAGTGCAGAGATATCAGCTTCTAAAAGGTTTTGGATGGAATTGACCTCTTTAACCAATCAGTTTTGTTACCTTCTCATTTCTTGTAATTTCATAATGACAAATATCTGAAGAGCTGGGCGGAGCACAGCAGGTCGTAGTAGAGCACAGTGGAGAAGGGAGAGGGAGCGCTGGGTGGAGCAGAGTGGACTGACTTAGAGTTTCATGCTGGTGCTACCTTCAGTTACACAGCGTGGCTTTAATGTCAGCTCTACATTCCTTATTGTCAGGGGCTCGGCATCACTGTGTAGGAGAACACTTTAAGGGCAAACAGACAAAGGCTTTCACTGCACTACCTCGTACTAATAATTTACCTGTGACAAAAAGGAATACCAACTTAAATTACTGTTATAGTTCTATAAGAGGTTATTCAGAAATTTCTCTGTACGACTTACACGATCAGTCAAAGGTTTGGACAAACCTTCAAATTCAACTCAGTGGGAAAGCAATTTTCTAATCTAGAAAATTGCATTTTCTGAAGAAAATGCGTATGGATGCTGAGTGCTGAAAGATCGTCCTGAAAATGCTGAACATTTTTACACCTGAATGCTTTTGCTAGCTGTAAGTATGCTGAAGTTGGAATTTCCCCATTTATTTGAATGGGGCAAGATTTTCAAAATAAAACTAAATATTTCAAAAGTATGAAGTTTAGAAAAATTCTGAATAGAAGCATGAATATCCTTGAGGAGCTGAACATTTTGATAGCTGAAATTATGCTGAAGTAGAATTTTCCCATTCATTTGAATGGAGCAAGATTTTCAAAATAAAGCTAAATATTTCAAAAAAATTGCGAATGGAAAAAGGTATGTCCTTGACGTGCTGAACATTTTGATAGCTGAAAGTATGGAGTAAAAATCTCCCCATTCATTTGTATAGGGTGAGATTTTCAAAATAAAACTGAAGTATGAAGTTTACAAAAGTAGTGAATAGTAGTATGAATGTCCTTGAAGAGCTGAACATTTTGATAGCTGAAAAAGCTGAAAGTTTGCTGAAGTAGAATTTTCCCATTCATTTGAATGGGGCAAGATTTTCAAAATAAAGCTGAATATTTAAAATGTATGAAGTTTTCAAAAGTTCTGAATAGTAGTATGAATGTCCTTGAAGAGCTGAACATTTTGATAGCTGAAAGAGCTGAAAGTATGCTGAAGAAAAAGTTTCCTATTCATTTGAATGGGGCAAGATTTTCAAAATAAAGCAAAAATATTTAAAAAGTATGAAGTTTTGAAAAATTCTGAAGAGAAGCATGAATGTCCTCGAAGAGCTGAACATTTTAATAGCTGAAATAGCTGAAAGTATGAAGAAGTAAAAATTTCCCCATTCATTTGAATGGGGAAATATTTTCAGAATAAAACTGAATATTTTAAAAAGTATAAAAGTTCAGCATCAGAATCAGCATCCATACAATAATAAATAATTGGAAAACATAGTATGGATGCTGAGTCAGCATCCATACAACTAGGGATGGAGCTGCATCTGAACAGGGAACTCAACGGGGGGTTTATACAAATACTTTTCTTATTAGTTTTCAAAAAGAAATCAAACAATCTTGTCAAATAGCTGACGTTATTCATAATGCTGGGGATTTGTGCTCCACCTGCATGTGCTGATACGACAGTAGGAGAGTGGAGGGGCGAGTAAACACAGAGACAAAAGGGCAATGCAACCTTGTTAAAATACAGGCATTAGGAAAGACAGCACATCACTGTGCCACTATTAGTTGTTTTGATTTTAAGGTTACTTATCTTTTGTTTTCCTGTTGGACTTGCAGATTAGGCCTGTGTAAAGCAGGGTTCGTTTACTGGGAGGAGGAGATTAGCCTGTAGTTTACCTGCTAGTTCACCTACACGCTGTGCTCACTGCTCAGCCACAGTGCTGCACATTTCACACTGGAGAAATAAAGCCCTATTTATAGCTACTCCTAGCAAAGCCACTGTGCCATTGTGGCAATTTAAATAATCCAGATGCAGCAATGACTGTTTGACCAGGAGAAGATTAAGCTAGCAGTTGACTGGCAGTGTACACTGATCAGCCACAACATTATGACCACCTGTCTAATATTTTGTAGCCCCTCCCCCTTTACTGCCAAAAGAGCTTTGACCCATCGAGATATGGATTCCACAAGACCTCTAAAGATGTCCTCTGGTATCTGGAACCAAGATGTCAGCAGCAGAACCTTTAAGTCCTGTGTGGCAAGGCGCATTATCCTGCCATCAGGGAATACCGTTGCCATGGAGGGGTGTTTTTGGCCTGCAAGAATGTTTATGTAGGTAGTACCTGTCAAAGTAACATCCACATGAACCAACAGAACATTGACCAAAGCATCCCACTGCCTCTGCCGGCTTGCCTTCTTCCCATAGTGCATCCTGGTGCCATCTCTTCCCCACAAAAGCAGTGCACACACATCCAGCCAGCCACATGATATAAAAGAAAATGCAATTCATCAGACCTGGCCACCTTCTTCTATTCCTCTGTGGTCCAGTTCTGATACTCAAGTGCACATTGTAGGTGCTTTTGGTAGTGGACAGGGATCAGCATGGGCACTCTGACTGGTCTGCAGCTACACAGCCCCCATACGCAGTAAGCTGCAGTGCGCTGTGTTCTTACACCTTTCTATCAGAACCAGCATTAAGCTTGCCAGCAATGTTCATTTCTAATGAACTATGGTTAGATTAGATTGGTTCAGAAGTGTCACCTACCCTGCGATCCTCTGGGTCATGTGAAAACCATCGTACTGCAGCCTCCAACACGTGCTTCTCGTTGCCCACATTCAGCTTCTCCATGGAAAGCACCTCGCAGAGACGGTCTGTGGGCAGCTCTCTGAACTCCTCGGTGAGCACTACATCGCGAAAATGTGTCTGCAGGAACTCAGTGGCGGCGTAATGGACATGGTAAAGGCAGTAGTGCAGAGAGAAGAGTCGAATGCCAATGCAGTTCTCTGCAGTGATGCATTTCTCCAAGAACTGGCAGCACAGGGACTTCAGGTCGGTCATGAGAAGCAGGTCAGACGCCTGTACCATGTCCTGGATGGTCTCATCACTCAAAGTGATCTGTGTGTGTGAAGGGCGCATATACACACACACACAGTTAGTCGGACAGTAACACATTAGGGTGGACAGGAAGCAATTACTTGAGCGTACTACACCTAAGACCTGACAATGTGGCTTTGCTTTTTAAAGCCTCCACACTCACTTCCCCACTGAAGATGTAGTCCAGGATCTGTTTCATTATAGCCATGGAGACGCCCTGCAGCTCAATCCTATATGTTGATCCATCTTCCTTTGGAGGATTGTAGTTCAGCTTAGTCCTAACAGGAAATCATTAACACAACTGAATATGACAGAACAGGAAATAAAGACTGCAGCACTGTTATCCTTCTTAATAGTTCATCTGCCACTGTGAAAGCATAAACATCAGTGGAAGATAACAAATGCATGATCATATCTGGGCAGGTGTGTTTGACACTGCTGAAAGACCAGGACAAATTGTCACTGCCAACTTTTCTGACCTGATATAAGGGCTAGCAGCAGCCAGGATGTTTTTCTGGATAGGAAGCTCCTCTCCATCGACCACCAGCAATGCATCATGAAAACTTTGTTCTTGCCAGAACGTGCGAAGGACCCTGAGGAGTCTCTGTGAATGTTGTGGGTCTGAAACCTTGGAGCCATTTTCACTAGATCCAGGATCGGGCATGTCTCAGCTTGTACACTACTTCTGTAAGTGTCTCCCAGACTGGGAGTCCCAGTTATGTTGCACAGGTCTCTATCAAACTTGGGGTCACAATAAAACATATATTAGGACTTCAGACAAATTAACAGAGGGCATTCTTCAGTTTTGCTTTTAGAAAAGACAACACACAACTTATTTTTTGAGAGAAAAAAATGGCTTGCTACTCGTCTAGCTAACATAGATAGTCCTCTACCACAGCGGCAGATATTAGATTCTAAGACTCGAGAGTAGACAGCGAGGACGGGATAAGGTAAGATTGTTGAGGTTCAACAACATCGCCAAGACATGACTGGTTAGGTTTGGTGTTACGATCTCTGAATACCAGGATCAAATGCCAAAACCCAGTGGCGAGAGGTGTTTAGTGAATCTCTTGAAAGCCGAATTTTGTGGAAAAAAATAACGAGTATTTACACGACTCGTTAGTTTGATTCCCGGTAGCTTATGTAACTATACCGAATCAAAGCTTCTTAAAGTGACCGAAATCCAAATTAGGTTTGGCGAAGCTGCTGGTGTATACGTAAAAGCTAGGCTAGTAGCAAAACAGTAGACATGTCGGTAAACAACAGCTCTTTGAAAAGGGCGATATGATGTCGCTAGCAAAGTTCTTTGCAGTTCAGCACTGATATAGGTAGCTAACGTTGGTGTCATTTGGTTGGACTGGTAAATGCAGACAGCTACGAACATATAGACGTGAGCCTGTACTCTGTGTTTATAGTGTTTCAAAGTTATGCCACGTTTTCCATTTTAACAAATCAAGTTTACTGTTTCTAAGTCTTACCTTAAGACTACGAAACGCGCTTTTCTTTTTTTTTTTACTGTCAAAGTCTAATTAGCTGCATTTAAGACAACGCCAGCCACCCTAGGCAGTAAAGAATGTCGCAAGTGAATGTGAGGACATGGTGCTGCATTCATTTTCAAAGAAAATACAGGGAATGCAAAATTCGTGTATATTATTATATGGGCTACCTATCCAAATAATGATCATCTACCTCTAAATATATTTACATACATAATAATTTGGCGATCAAACTGCTCACAATAATAACCAAGACATCCGATTGGCTTTAAACAAGTTGGGCACGAACACGTCTTTAAAAAAAAAAAAAATCCGTTTCAACAGAAGAATTCAGTTGGAACATGAACGCAGCATTAGCTAAATCAAGTTCCAATACTGTAGGGGAAAACTTTTTATTTACATAATTATGAATAAATTGCTAGCAAAACACATGCCTGTTAACTTATATTAACAAATTGTGAAAGTTGTCTTTGAATCATAGGAGAAATTGATCTTCTTAATGCAACGTTATTAGAATTCGAGCTATAAAGGGAGTGTGAAGTGTTATTTACAAAGAAGCGGAATGGGGCTACGAGCCAACCTGCCACATAACGGTAGCGAAAGTACTTCCGGTGTGAATAAAATCTTCCTGAACAACTCGTATAGTCTTGTAGATTATTTATTTAACATTGTAAATTAGCTCAATAAAGCGATATGATGAATTTTTAAATAATATTCCCACCTCATATATTAATGATTATACTGGTCTGTGCCAGTCTATTGGCCTATCATTTGCGCTTTTAATTTGAAGGAAACCCCGTCGTAGTCTATTAGCCTGTTTATCGGTAACTTGAAAAGTGTGTCGCCGCCATAACTGGACAAACATAAATATTACCCTTTGTGTAGGGTTTCACCAAGGTAAAGCGCCGACTGCTTTGTTATTATTTTGCTGTACTAGATGCAATGGGAAAGTTGTCAGCTGTAAACTGCGTAGTGAAGTGTTTGTAGTTTATGTGCGAGTTCTTGATAAGTGACAGCTTCTTTAACCAGCATGTGATATGTTAAACCAACAACAGAATACTTTGTAAAGGCTCATAGGATACATGCCTTTCGTTTCTAGCTCCCATGATGATGTTATGATGGATGAACCACTGAGCATCGTAAATATTTGCTTGGCGGAGCATAATTGAAGACATAGTTTGAAACTACAAACATGCCTCGACCTTCTCGAAGCAAACTGTCTCCGTGGATAGAAAACCTAGTCCTGAGCTATGGCGGCCAGGAGGGGAGCAGCAGCAGCGGGCGGCTCAAGGCTCATGTCATCGGAGTGGGTCAGATGTCCCAGTCCCAGGCTCAGGGCTCCGAGGGTCCCACGTGGCTCCTCTTCCTGTCGGACGGCGTGCTCCAGATCCCCGCCATTCTTACTGCATCAGCCTGGGAGCATCTTCAGGAGCAGGAGGACCGCGAAAGTTTCAGCAGCCTGGTCAACACCACGGTGTGCATACAGGACTACCGGCTGCAGTTTCACATGGCCCACGAACAGACCAAGTGCAGATTCTTTCTCTCAGTTGGAGAGCTGGCCACGACTGCAGCAGGCCCAGTTAAAGACAACACTCCTTGCTGTACAACATGTCCCTCTGTCAGGCTCAAGATCTATAAGACATGGAGGGCCCTGCAGGGTCAGGAGGTGCAGGAGTCTCAGAAGAGCCAATGTGGGTTTGATTTGTCAGCACTGCTGGGGGAGTGGCAGCATGACTGTCTGCAGGCTGTTCTGGATGATGTTCGGGAGAGGCTGGTGGTAGCAAGCAGCCGTCCTGTGAGCCAGCAGACCTCCACCTCGACTTACACCTCCAGCACATTCACTGCCACAAGCTGGGATGTCGACAGGGTTTCATATAAGGGAGTGAAATGTTTCAGCGTCCCCATAAAATGTCTTTTCATTCCAGAGGAAGATGCTCAGCAGCTGCAGACACCACTTAATGCTGGAAGCAGGAAACCAGGTGGGCCCTCTGCTGCCTCTGAGGACAGAAGGAGAGATTTACCACCAACCTGCAAAACCTTAGAGGCTACACAGCCTTCTGTTGATGTTGCAGAATGGCGAATAGCTGCGCCAGCAGTTGCAGAGAGAAATTGTAACACCAGAGAGAACTCCCCTCTTGCTGTAGAGGGCAGCATGCTACATGAGGACATGATTACAGGGATAATCAACATGGACACCAGGCACTTATCCAACCCTTGGGACATTTTTCCTCCACCATGTGGCACCTCCTCATCCTCAGATGCATCGCCGGAGGCAACACCAGTCCACTCTCAGTACAATGCAACCTTATCCAGCACGCAAATTCCTGCCCACAGCTCGAGGGAGTCCCAGCAGACATCAGACCACAGCAAAGGAGAGTGCAGCTACTTCCCACCATATCAGAAACCACCCCACGTGACTAGCCTCCCTACTGCTGCCAGTTCGTCTTTTTCTGTGAATCTACCAGAACCCTTTTCCAGACCGCCAAACCTGTTGCCCACCACAGACAGACACGACTCCCACACAGCACAACTAAATCTTCCAGCTTTGGACCATGAGGGTGAGATTTTGGCACAGGACACAGAGGAGACTGTTGTCAGAAAGTACAGAAAGGCAAAGAGAAGAGAGCCCACGACAGAAGCAGTTATCACACCAGCAGAGGAGGAAGAAGAAGAAACTCAGATCACCAGAAGCCCTCCATCTTGGCTCTTTGACACTCAGGCAGGCTATGGGGCCAAAGAGGGCAGCGGTCGCAAACGGGGTCCTCCTGCAGGGACTCTCTCAAGAAAGACGCCCACTGTTCACAGCGACGGCAAAGCGTTCTCTTACTCTTACCAAGTGTCTGGACAGAACCTGCAGGATTTCAGTTTGTTCAGAGTTCCTGAAAGTTTGCTGCACTGGGCGGTGAAGTATCTTGTTGCTCCACAGAAGAAGGATAATCCACACAGTACCTCCAATCAGACATTGTCTGACAAGACTGATGTTATTTAACTTCAGATTCAAAACTTTGGAAGACGGTTAACTCTTCTGCTTGTGCTTTTTGTCTTGTCAGACATTTTAGTCTGCATTGACCAACTGTTTTCTCATGTTACTCATCCAGGGAAGTTCTTTTTGTAGCATATATTTTAAGCACTGACAAAAAATCTATTTTGTAAAAAAATAAAAAATAAAAAAAAAGCCCATGTTCCTGTATAAAAAAAGTTTTATGCTTTTCTATTATAAAATCCTTTGCCTTCTTAACTAAAGTAAAATAAAACAGAAAATGATTCAGGATCCACTTCTTTCTGGACCTTACAACCACATCTTTATTTGCTCACTTGAAAACCCGAAGTACAGTATTTGTTGAAAGTTTTATCATATGTTATAATGATAATGAAATATTCAATGAACACGTTTGACAGCATTTGTTATATGAAGTTAATAATGCAAGATTAACTGATTTCACCAGATCCAGGTCCTGTGATAAACACCTGTTAACAGCTCTTGGTACAATTCAGCAGCCTCTATAAGATCACACAGCTGAATTATCACCTCTGTGAAACTCAAACTGAACATGATCACCTTCATGAAGGACGAGTATTACAGCCCTGCTGGATTAGATTTACTTTTAATTAGGTGTACCTAATAAACTGACACCTGAGTGTATACTAGTCATGTAATGCTGCAGTGACCCCTGAGGGTCCAGAAGATGTCGCCAAATACCACATGTTTGACACTGGATTAGAACTTGCACCTTCAAACTGCACTTTCAGACTGAAGTTAAATGGCCAGATCTTTGTGGCCATATTAGACCCCAGGTCCATGTTTCTCTAAATGTTTGTAACACTAATGAAAGAGTAGTTCAGCCCCTTAGCCCTGTAATAACGTGAGCACAGTTAGCATCTCTGCCCATACTGTATTCCCATCATTGCAAGTTGCCTATTGTGAAACCACCGATCAGGCACAACATTATGACCACTGTACATCTCTTTGCACTTCAGTGCAACACTTCTGCCTTAACATTTGTGTTTATGAAGCTCAAAATGTTTCAGTTTTTGGTGAAATTGTCATAAATATATACATTTGTTATATGTTCATTATTGAGGTCATAGTTAAAGGTGGCGTTGTACTGGACTACATTATATTCAGAGGCGTTCCTAATATTCTGACCCTCTCATGTATGTCAATGGTCAGGACCAAAATATACAGACATTTGCATAGTCATAGTTTGTGTGATTTTCAGTGAGGGAAAGGGAGTAGATGTACATGTAAGAACTCTAACTGAACATTTTTGTCTGTGCACAGTAGTGAAGGTCAACAACGGCTTTGAACGCCACTTTTTATTCAACGCCAGTGGACCTGTTAGGGTAAACTGTACTAACCTTACAGAAGGAAAAGACAGAGACCCACAAGCTCCTCAACATTTCTCTTTGTAATTTCCCAGGTCAATTTAATCCATAAGCTGCCTGTGTCTCAGGTCAGAACCTTTTAACAGTAACCAATATGGCAGACAACAGTAGAGCCTCATTTAAACGTGCATCATTTTGAGACTGCCTGAACTGTTTGGCGGCCTGCCAGGTACGAGATCTCAAAACACAATGAACATTTCATGAATTATATGAAATGATTTCTCACAGTAATACATAGATACGTTCTGCTAGCTTTATGGTGTCCTGTGATATCAGATCCACGGATGTTTATACACAGTTGGTGAACTAGTGCTCCTTAATGTCAGGTTTGTTAACTCCCTTGCAGTAAGAGGTCATGCTTCATGAAGGCATGAATGGTTAACAGCCCTCTGCTCACATCATGGGCTCATATGTCCGTGTACCAGCTGCATTCATATAAATTCTAAAATGCATCTTCTGTGCCATTCTAGCAGCTGCCCTTTGAAAATGTCTAATTCTGTTTGCTGAGGCCTGGACACATCTCATGTTTGCATGTTAGTTTAGTTTTATTTGCTAATGAATCACCGTGTGCTGGGAGAGAAACAGAGAAAAGACCAACCTCTAAGTTTATCCACTCAAAGTTCCAAAGGCCTAATGTAAGCAGGAGCCAGCTGTGTGCACTTGTAAAGTTGTTATAAGCCTCTTTTGACCTATAAACAGGAAAATACATAATATAAAGCATCATGCTCACATCTACAAATAATACACTGCCTGCGTTGTCCTTGTAAGGAATACAGTCCTGAGCGCCGGGCCGCTGCTTCTCAAAGGACGATTAAAACTCCACATTTCATTTTGTTCAGCTTTGACACAAACTGAGCCAGTATCAGGATCATGCCAGCGAGCAGAGGGAGCGCCAGCTGGCTGTGTCCACATGACCTGAAGATCGTTGCGTTATTTTAGAATTTTTATGGGATATAATTGTGTATTTTATTTTTGTAATGCAAAGCTAAATCAAGAAAATAATGGGAATACATGTTGTAAATAAAACATGCCACCCAGACCTCGAACTCCCTCTGATCTGATTTAGGGCTGCAAATAACAAAACAGGCTAATCAAAGATATCGAGTTGATTTGATGAATGAAAGTAATGCCCTGCTAACTGGCTCATTGTATCAGCTTCACAACCTGCCTGTGCAGTCCGATTCCATGCAGACCAACGTCCCAGCATCGCCGTGACCTTTCTGAAGCTGATGCTTAACTTTGTGTTGTCGCTGTGAGCTCCGCTCTGATCATTCTGAGCCTGAATTTGTATTGTTAGTGTCACATTTTTGTATTAGTGCTTCAGTTGAGAGAAGTAATGAAGTGAGTCAAGCTGAGCTGTTCGGTAAAGTAATATGTTGTTGTTATCAGTTACAATCACTTGATTGTTTTTTTTCAAACTCCCATAGCACCATTTGTTTAGAATTGACCAGCGATTATCCAGGACCCTTAAAGCCACTAGAGAGCCCTTTATGGAGCCAGTCACCAAGGGAGGCCATCAATCCATTTCTTTAAGAAAAAGGTTAACCAGGATTTATTCTGAAGTGTCAGAGAGCAGGAAAAATCTGTGATGACCAAAGGTTTTGACTATTAAAGATATCATGATCATACACTATATAATAAGTGACTCTGGATGTATAAAACCAGCTTTTAAAAACTCTTTAACATATACTTGTTGCTGGTACTGTGTGATATAATATGACCTGACCAGGGTGGACCCCACACCTCACCCAGTGCCATCTGGGATTGGCTCCAGATGGATAGTTGCATGGTAGGCCTAATATTTATATTTAATATTGTGCATGGAGTTTTTAAAAATAAAATAAAATAGAAATAAATGTGTCCATCAAATAGTAAATACAAAGTGCATGGAGACAAACAAAGACAAGTATAGTTCCATATGAAACTTGCACTACAAATCGTGTCCTGGTATTAATATGACCTTAAAGAGATGGTCAAACTCTGTCAGACTATAGGTTTACTGGATATTTCAACAGCAGATAAAGAACTGAGGTCCGGACTGTTACACAAAATCAAGAGTGGTGTAGGGGAACATTTTAAATTAAAGATAAGGACCAAGCTAACAGAAAACATAACTGGCTCATTTAATAAATTAGCTAGAGTTAAATATGAAAATGGACTTTTTGTCCAAATGTTCTTCCAACAACATACCGCCCCCTGCGGAAGGAAGCGGACCTGACGCCAGTCGAACCTATTTCACTTGTTTTCCCTTTTATAGGCCAAACTTTGTTTTCACTGAACGAACCCACAGCAACTCCCAGAAAGGACTCGGCCATGTTTGCTTGTTCTCCTTGTGTGAGCAACTCTCAGCGTCAGGGGTGGACGTGATATTTCAAACAGCACATCAGTGCGTTTATGTATTGGGTGCCCGGAAATTTTCCCAAATAAACACAGCTTGATTCAACCTGGGTGGGCAGACTTATCAAGCGACTAATTCTATAAACAGATGAGGGAATAACGCGGCTCCTCATTGGTTGCTGGGTGGAGTGTGGGGGTGGGGGTCCCTAGGGGAGTTTCATTGCAATGAAAATTTAATTAATGTGGGTGGGCTGAGAACCCCATCGACTGTTTATGATGGACAATTTATTTCTCAGCGCAAAGTCAACATAACAGCAAACGTACAACAATTATTCCGGGGCCCTCATGAGGCTGCACAGTCAGTCAGTGGAGGGAAGGAGCTCTGGGAGCAGGCTCAGCGTTCCCCGGATCACAAACCAGCTTCCACGGCGTCATGACTCTCTACCATGGCCGTCTGCCGTCGCTCGGAGTGCCACCCCCTGCTCTGGGCCTCTCCGCCCCCCAGCTCATCTATCTGTATGGAGGGGACAGTGGAGGGGTCGTGCCGGCCGGCCTGAGCTTCGTGCCGGCCCGCCAGGAGCCTCCGCAGAAGCCGCCCTACAGTTACATCGCGCTCATCGCCATGGCCATCAAGAGCGCACCGGAGCAGCGCGCCACACTCAGCGGCATTTACCAGTTCATTATGGACCGGTTCCCCTTTTATCATGACAACAAGCAGGGCTGGCAGAACTCCATCCGGCACAACCTCTCCCTGAATGACTGCTTCATCAAGGTGCCCAGAGAGAAGGGTCGGCCTGGCAAAGGCAGCTATTGGACGCTGGACACCAAGTGTCTGGATATGTTTGAGAACGGCAACTCCCGCCGCAGGAAGCGGAAGGCGAAGAGCCCACATGAAGCTCTGGGCTCCAAAGCCGCGGGTCTCAAGCGCACCAAGGGTCTGGGGCCTGCAAGGGACCCTCAGATTTATCTGAAACATCAGAGTGGCTCGGAGATAGCAGAGGTACAAGCGAGGCAGAATGTGGAAGAAACACAATATGACAAAAAACATTTTCTGGTGGATTTTAACCACGCTGGACAGCCCCGAAATCCCCCCATACAGAGACTTAGGGGGCCCCACAGCCACGACGCACTTGCATCCACAGGGAGGAGGCTTGACGCGCCACAGCCTGAGCAGTGTCGCGCTCCGGGACACGCTTCACTGTGGACGGACGGTGCGTATCTCCCAGGCGCGTCCCTCCGCCGGGAGCCAGAGGAGAGAAGGTCAGCGTTCAGTGGGAGAGAGAGAGAGAGGGGTCCGCTCTGCGTTGTCAGCTGCTCAGGAAACACAAACGTGGATGCGCTCGCACAGGACAGGCCGAAAGGAAACGTTGTGAGCAGGGATAAGTCGAAAGGTTTTAGCATCGAGAGCATCTTATCAAAAGGCGAAGACGAAAGGCGCAACAGCATCCTCAGTTTGTCAGCGGAGACGTGCGCAGAGCTCCAGAGTCCAGCTGTCAGTTCATCCGTGATCCTCGGTGCTCGGTCGCATCAGTTGTACCAGATGGGGTTCCCCCTGTGCTCTTACCTGTCACTCACCTGCCCTGACAGAGTGCCACATTTTAAATGAGTACAGTGTCGGATTCAGACTTGTAAGAGTGCGTAAAGGTGTCTGTAACCAGCTCCACATAACGAGTCACCATGAGACAGTTCGCTCTTCAGCTCACTCTGGATCTCTGCTAATTACATCGTGTACAGTTCAGACAATGACGGACAGCAGCTGGAAGCATACCTCATTGTCGGGAGCGTGCGTGTTGTCACCAGTCTGTGTTTTTTATCATTACTGTTAACTCCTTAAATTCTGTGCCATTCAGTTTAATGCTTAATATGACAAAACCCTAGAAACATATAACGACTTTGTCTTGTGAATATTTAGGGAAAGCTCATGTATACAGTCTTTCTCTCCTCATTCACGATGATTAAAACCCTCAAGGACATGTCTGCAAGCCCTATGTACTCTATACACAGTGTCTGAACTCTGAAGAGACAGTACAGTATCAGTGTAGTACTCAGTAATGTAACCTGAAGATAATTTACATTCCTTTCATGTGCAAAATAAAGTTTAGTTTGGTAATAACATGACAGCATGATTTATTTCAAACTGAGTCAACACCAGAAGAACTGTTGGGAGACTCAGGGCTGTTGCTGTTGCTGAAACATCAGCTAAACTTAATCCTTTTCCTGATCAAACATTGACAAAGAGACACATAACTATACAGTATATTTGTGTATTTGCTTTTTGGTTCTTGTGATCATTGAGGATTGCCAGGCCTGTGCAGTTTAGCTGTGTGCATCATGAAAAAAAGATGATTTACTGTATTCAGAGCGATTGGACAAATATCAAGAGTAAGCCTGGATGTTAAGGTTGTTTTCTTTGGCAGCTACTGTATCAACTTCACTGATTATAAGGGATCATCATTAAGAAAATTTAGACTAGGATTATAGATGATGTGAATATCAGTTAACATTCAATCAAAATGTCTCTGAGCCGCCCCCAGATGCTTTGGAAACACACAGACCAAGAGTTGTCACACACGAGAAATTTACTATGAAGGAGAAATACTGCATTCCAGTGTAAAGTGCCAGTGACTGACGGCTCCTTTTCCACTTCTGAGGAGGTCCCATGATATTTATGAAACAGAAAAAAAACACTACTACTTTTATTATTTTTTTTTGCCATTTTCAGTGTCTTGGCTTCCTCTGCTAATTACTCAAAGGATTTAATCTGAAACAATGTAATCACTGTTGAATCGAGCTGTGCCGAGGTAGGCCACATGATGCAGCTCTCTGAATAAAGCTAATAACACAGCATTGACATATTAGTTCAAACCACTGTTTTCTACTCAGGCAAGGCTGAAGAAGGCCTGGTTCCCTGGTTCCCTATTGCTGGACCATACGTCTTATAACACCCTGAACACTTCAGTTTAAATGACAAGTTATCTTTATGAATCCAGGTGCACATCCAGCAAAGCCCGATGGCACATAAAGTCCTACCTGAGGCTCCAGCTTGCAGTAGAATGACACCTGCATGAAATCAGACAGCATCACCACAAAGAGAAAGCAGCCATGTCTAAAATTAGGCCTCTAGCTTAGACACATGCTTGTCTGAAAAAGCTCAAGTGTGCGAAGCCGGCATTGTGCAAATCAGGAATGTTTGTTGAAATAAATAAACTTCCCCACATTTGAAGGGAGGAACTCACAATCACAAGCATTTCCTGTGGATAGAATTCGTTCTTTCATTTGTGTAAATAAAACATGATGAAAAGCACAGAAGGGATAGAACGGTGGAGGGGCTGAGAGACGGACGAAACAAAAGTAGTGAGAAGAATCAGCTTTAGTCTGTCTGGGAGCTGGCTGCAGTTAACACATGATGCACACGGCCCAGCAGCTGCCTGCTCCAGTGAGCGGCAGAGATTTCTACAAGTAAAGTGAATTAATAAATGTTAGTTGTCTGGTGGCTTCTGTGAGTGTTTGAACAGTGAACTTCAGCCTCTGAACGAATGACTTCAGTATTACTTGTTTTCTACCTTTTTGCATTTAAATACCAAAACAGTAAAGTGAGAGCTTGGCAGCAACACAAAGCTAGTGAGGTGACCTCGAGCTGAGCTTTTAGCGAATGATTTACACATTATTTCTACCAATTTAACAAGTTTCTGCCAACTGCGTTTTAAGACCACAAATGCAGTAATGACACCATCACAGCTTCTACTGTATGCACTTAACACTTGGACCTTTCTGGTTCCTTCAGTCAGCTCTCTTTTCCTTTCACACTCCATAATGTTTTCAACCACGTTCACAGTAAAGAGAAATCAGTTTCTCTTTGGTAGCGGTAGTCGTCCCTGAGTGAAGACATACAAGGTTGACAACCTTTCCTGCTATCATCAGTATAAAGTTGGATCTCTGTTTGCTAACAGAGCAGAAAAAGCAGCTGGGGGGGTGTGAATGTCAGTTAACTGCAGCACTGTAGACGAAGACTATCAGGGGTCTTCTGTCTCTCATACTGCACTTGGATGTGGCCTGTGAGGACATCACTGCAGGCTGCATTTGTCACACATACTATTTTATCTAAGGAGTCCAGTCAGGAAAAATATTACAGCAGGTTATGTGGATAACAAATGGAAATGGAGCAGTAAACAGACTGCCTAATATATTTTTGTTGGTTTTATTTTCTGTTTTGTGTATCCTGGCTACATGACTGCAGATTTGGATGTGTTTAAGAAACAAGATATTTGTTGCTGTATTTTCATTTTTTGCTGATTTGCAAGTGGAAACACAGTCCTACTGTTTGTTGTCACCTGTTTTTACTGCGCTTTTGCTCCTAACACTGCAGTACAACCTTGGAGATGACCCATATTAACCATCAATAAAGCCCAGAGTTACA